AGTCCCCTCTGCTGCCCCCCCCCCCCCTCCCGCAACCCCTTTAACTGCACTATCTCACTGCGTAAGCTGTGCAAGCATCATGCAGTTATCTAATAAATGTATCTTAACTTTAGTTAATTGAATTTGAGCTTGGTACCATTGAATTATATATGCCAATGGATAGGGGTGCAACTTGAACCCCAAGGACCTGGAACGTAACTTTCTGACAAGGACCCATTGAGGGTTAAATGAACCACAGTGGGCTCCGGTGCAAATCCAGTGGCCTACGTAATTTAATAAGCTTTTTAATTTATATATAGAAAACGATTCCTTATTTTTACATTATCCTTCCTAGCTATTAAACAGAACTAAGCCGGCTGAAAGGCTTGGTCTGTAAAGGAAGGGAGGTAGGTCAGAAAGGTCCAGATTTCCTCTATATCGAATTATGAATTAGCCAGCAGCATTACACGGGCAGAGAATTAGAGAAGAGACATATTTCAGCAGGAAATATGAGGAAATAGGAAATGATTGATAAACGTCCTGTGTACACAGAAGATTAGAACAGAAACTGAATTGTTGTAGTAAATTGATAAAGAATAGAAGTATGAAAAATGAGGGTGGTAATCTGACAAATATGATTTAAATATTGCTGTTGACAAAACAAAATATTACGTCCCACTTTACAATAACGCTCTATTTTGCCACTTGTAAATAGTAATTCATTAATAAAAAGAAAACAGTGTCATAACTTGTTTAAAACTGTCTACTAATAATTTACAAAGTGTTACAACCTAATAAATAGCCAGATTATTAACCATTCATAAACCCTTTATATGGGCAAACTTATTGTAAAGTGGCACCAAATATTATTATGTAAATAATGCAAATAAAGGTACATTGGTAACACTTTAATGGTGCACAAATAATATAGTTATACTATATTAATATTATGCTATTACTTGCAGTACGTATTAGTGAACCACAAAGTCGTAGCCACATACTAATCTATTAATTCGTCATTAATGAATCGTGAATCTCACGCAGTTACTGTATTTATTACTTTATCTGTTAATTCTATAAACCTCTGTGAACTACTGAAGGAACAAGTCATGAATAACACAAATACTGATCTCATGTTTGTTCATCAATGAATCACGATGCATCTTTTATCCCAAGCAGTTACTATATTTGTTGCTATATCTTACTTCTGTAAACCTTCGTGAAATACTGAAGGAACTACTGAAGGAAAAAGTGTAACACTGATCTCATGTTTGTTCATCATTACTGAATCATGGTGCATTTTTTTATCTCAAGTAGTGACTATATTTGTTCATGATTTGTACTTCAGTAGTAAGTGACATATTACTAAGTACTGTAGCTATTTGTGCCCTGTAAAGTTAAATGGTACCAGTGCATTTCAAAATCAACAAGTACAGAGAGAATGTTTATATCCCAGGGCCTAAGCTGAATGTTTAGTAAGAAAGGATAGTGAAAACGAGCCTTAATTTTTAAAATTAAATAACTGTCCCACTGCAAACATCATCAGTGCCTAATTAAATCTGTAACGTAGCCTGTCTTTACCCTTTAAGGAAAGACTGACCATTTTGTCAGCTGTTTTCATTGGCACTTTTAAATGCAGTCCATAATGTTTAATGAACTACCAGTCATAATGGGCCTTTTCATTCATACTGAGATACGTAATCCGTTAGCCAACAACAATGGCAACAATTCTTATTGATACACATGCGCGCACACAAACACTTACCGGTGACTTAAATTCCCTTTATAAACAGTAAAATTGACATAAAATAGACTTGCAACCGGCCATGACTGGCCATAACCATAAAATGATTCATAATTGTACACATTATATGACCACATGTGCAAAAATGTTTTAAAATTCCAGCAATGTAAATCAAATGAAGGCATACACTTAACATACATATATGCTACAATAAAAATTCTATAGCTAGATAGAGATTCTTGATTGATCTGCTTTGGGAAATTGTCTTTTTTGTGCCTCATTGTGCTCGCTATGAGACCCACACAGACAGATGACAACAAGCTTGGAAGTCAGAGCTAAGAGCCTCTGTCAAGGACCCACAGACATGTGACTTCTATTGAGGCCAGGTTTGAACCAACAACCTTCTGATCACAGGCACAGAGATTTAGCCTGCTGAGCTAAACACTGCTAATAATAAGTTTAATAGGGGTGCAATGATATACTCAGCCCGTGAGACAAGACGAGACACGATATTGGGTTCACGAGAATGTGACGAGACGATATTCTAACAATATTTTAAGGAAAACATCAAAGAGGAAATATATTACTGGAAAGCAGCCTTTCATTTGATTAATTTGAAAGACAAAAAATGCTAAATAATGCAGATGTATGGTGAAATGTTTTAAATAATCACCATCATCATATGCAGTAAAGAACAGAACAAATATCTAGCACCATAAAATATTTCACCACAAACTCAAATGACAGGCTTCTCTCGTATTTGACTACTCAATTGAACATAAAATAGAATATAAATAAAACAATATAAATAACAAACATAGAACATTTTTTTATGTTTTCTTCACTGGTGCAGTGGATTTAAGAGCTATGACAGTGCTGCAAATGCCTTTGCATAGTAGTAGTGTTAGCCGCTGTGTACGGCATTATTTTCCTACTATGCTTACAGATGGTTCATGTTTTGTCTGTCACCCGTTTGCCATTTGTTTTTTCCGCCAGGTACCCAAAATGCTGCCACACAAAGGATTTAAAAGTGTCTGGGGCATCTGCAATGGTAATTAATTCACACGCCTAGATGCTTACATCAGCTGATTTGCAGCGCCTTCGCTTTTCGATCCGACGAGAAATCTTGTCATGTCGTGACACGAGACCTCGTATCACCCCTAAAGCTTAACATTTGCAACCATTGGTTTTGGCCCTACTGGTAAACTTTTCCTTCGCAAGAAAAGAAATCATACACAAACTAAGCATGATATTATTATTAGGTACCATCAAGTAGATGTAGGCTCCTGGAAGCCATATAAACAGCTTTTTATGGAATGTCCTGTCTTCTACCTGGGCCAAGCATGGTATAGAGCACTGTGGTATAGAGCACTGTGGTATAGAGCAGGGGCCCCCAGATGGTCCATGTTTTTGCTCCCTCCCAGCTCCCTGCCACGGTCCAACATGGATCTTCTGGGAGTTCCCGAAGACCAGGTTGAGAAATACGATTGAGAGAAATCCAACTGTTGCTGTCAATTAAAATGAAGAAACATTCCCTGATACTCAGAAGGAAAAAACAAAATGATCCCAACACTAATCTTACATAATATAGAGTAAAGTAAGAAATATTCTACTAGTCATGTTCACAGTGTCCATTGCAGCTAGATTATAATATACCATATAGATTTTTGGAAGAAGTTTGTAAATATTAAACTTTTTTGGACTAACTTAAAAAACTATACACTCACTGGGCATTTTATTAGGTACACCTGTTCAATTGCTCGTTGACTCAAATACCAGCCAATCATATTTCAG